CTCAGCCATGCTGTGTATACTATACCCGGAATCGAAAGCCATCCCACTCATCCTCCTCTTCGTCTTCTTCCTCGTCGTCTTCGTCGTCGGCGTGGACGTTCTCCTTCCCAGGACCCGCAGCCGTCTTCAGCGCCGTGCCGCCGCCGCCGGCCCGGAAGTTCATGACGCTCTCCTTGCGTAGCTCCTCGCGGCGCTCCTTGAGCCTGCGGACGCGCCCCTCCAGCTCGGCCATCTCCTCGAACTCGTCTTCGAGAGCGCGTGTTGCATCCTCGCGCTCGTCGGCCATCTCAGCCTCCGCCGCCCGCTTCCGCCGCTCGTTCTCCTCCTCCTGTGACTTGACGGCGATCTGCGCCGTCGTCAGCGCCGGCGCTGAGATCGTCGCGTCCGCGTACAGGTGGTTTGAGCCGGCGTTCGTTGGCGGTGCTGGGGCATCGAGGACTGCCATCTCTGCTTCGAAGGCTGCCCATTCCGCCTCGTTGACGGCCCCTGATGAAGGTTGTGCAGCATTGCTGGTGGGTGGCGCCTGCATCGGATTTTGGGCTGGTGCAGAGAGCGCCTCGTGGGATATGGGTACTGATGCTGCTGTTTTCTGCTGTAATAAGGCTGTCACCGAGGCTCCCGAGGCAGGAGTTGTCTCTAGGCCTATCAGGCTAGAACGGCCCATCGACGCTGTTTTTGGCGTCGAAACGCTAGAATTGGTGCCTGCGAGAGGCGTCGCGGGCCGGGACGGTATGGCAATCTCAACGCCCTGGATTGGTGTCCCTGAGGTCCTCCGTGCCAAGCCAGGGGGGGTCTGCGTCTTCTCCTTGTCCTTCTCTTTATTGCCTTCCGCTCCGTTCACTGTACCGTTCGTCGTGGGTGTTTGATGGACGACTGTATCTATTTTGCTTCGCTTCGTGCGTATTGTGTCTGGGTCTTCGTCGCCGTCTGACATGGCCTCGTCTACATCTTCGCCGCGTTTCCGTTTATTCGTGCTCTCGTCTATGCCTTGCATGGGCGGGCTCGACTGCTTTTGCAGCGCTTGCAGCCTTTGTCTGTGTATCTGGCTACGGATATGTGTATCCCATAATGCCTCGGTCTTCACTGCATCGTGACATAGTTTGCAGAGCAATTTCCCGGCATCTGAGTAGGCGGCATGTGGATGCTTGATGCGATTCTCGGCCCGATGGGCGCGTAAGAGGGCACGGGCGTCGGCCATTGCGGATGAAAGGTCGAGCGTTGTTGGTGGAAAACGGATGTTCAACGTCGGAGGCCGGCTTCGAGGTTGATAGGGATGCACAAGAGCTGGGTTGTGGCTGTGAGTTTGGGAGGTTGGTTGCAATGATGCAGATGGTTGAGGCGGTGGGATAGGTGCGGAAGGTAAAGCAAGCTGAGCGAGGTCTGCCATCAGCCACAGTTGATAGTTGACCTGGAGATTTGGAGAAGTGCCCCGCGCTGGCGCTCCCGGCTAGGTGCCGACACTACGTACCTAGACTGGTCACAGTAGGGGTTGCACCCTTGGTACCTACCTAGGTAGTAGGGTCTCCCGCTAGGGGTAGGGGTAGGACCGTCCCCACAAGGGAAACCCCCGGCGTGTACATCGGATCGGATCCTTCCCTCCTCCCCTCCACACCTCCGCGGCACTAACGCCGGGCCATTGCACTTGAACATTTTAACCCGGACCGTCAGCCATGGCAAAAGACAGCTGACCTGCCCAGCATACTTTCTACGACATCCGAATTGCAATCCAGGTGTGGCAATTCGGTTTATCGAGGGAACGTGGATACGAATGCCTCAGTATCAATACGTCGTCACCATGGACGAAGAACAGCAACAGACAGCCTCAGCCTCGACCTGGCCACCACCGCCTCCTTTCTGGAAAGCCTTCACCCCAGATAACGTGGCACGCATCGAAGAGCTGCGGAAAGCGACGGCAGACCGCTTAGGCATCCAAGACACCTCGAGCGTCCGCATTGACGGGCTGCCTCGCGAACTGCGCAATTTACAGCCTCCACCCGAACCCGAGGATGGAGCATGGCGAGTGTTCGGTGACAAATATGTCCTGAACGACGAGCTCCCACAGCTCGAGGATGGCGCGATTCGCCGGCTCTTCCCGAACTCCGAGGAGAGGGACCAGGATGGCAAGCACTTCGACCGCGCCACCATACTGAAGCGGTTGGCCAAGTCGCTGCTGCTTAACTTTCTGGAACTCACGGGTCTGCTGGCGACCAATCCCGAGGCGGTATGTAACCCGCGAGTCTCTTCCGAAGTGCCGTCTATCTCTAACTGGTATGAATCGTAACAGGCCGAGGACAAGGTGACAGACATCAGAGATCTCTTCATCAACTTCCACCACCTCATTAACGAGTACCGCCCACACCAAGCCCGCGAGTCCCTCATCGCCCTGATGCAGTCGCAGCTGGACCGGACGCGGGCCGAGACAAATGCCATCCGTGACGCGATAGACCATGCCCAGCGCGTGCTCGAAGGGTTGGGGAGCATAACGATCGAGGAACTGCCCAACTACAATGTCGACGACGACTACAACCCATTCGAGCAAGATATGGAGGCCTGGAAAATGCTGATGGATTAGCACATGGGAAGGGGAAAATACACTTCTTTGGAGCCGACGGGTTTTATAAAAGGTTTTGGGCGTTGTCGGATGATTGTTGGTCGGTACATAATTTGGCGCTTGGCTTGGGGAAACAAAAGCTTCATGATACCCCTTAGAATCGCCCATTGGGCAAAAATTAGACTACAGAAGAGATTGCTGCTCCCGTAGGTGTCTGTTATCCTAGAAATAGTCGTGAGTAGTAGTAGTTGTCTTTCCAACCCGCATTATCCCGCCTCTAACTAAACGTTTCTAGCTTCCGTGACAATTCCCTTCGGAGGGCGTTGTTACGGTTGACGAGGATCGGCTTCAAGGCGCCGTACGTCATGCTCTACATCTTCCCCTTCACTCCTCTCTCTAAATTATTTTGGTAACACCGAATTAGCGACGTAGCCCGTTCGTAGCCTGGTGGTCGTTATCATACATACACATGCTCTGGCATTATCCGCTTAATCGAGGAGAGTGTGCTGCCGAGGCAAGGTGTAAGTGATTCAATGGTGTCTTCTCTTTCTCTCCAGACTGCCTAACTGAGTAACTAGATATTGGTGTATATCGATAGAGGTCGAGAATTGCAGGTGTACAATCGTATCATAGTCTACTGCTGACTCATCATGATGTTGTTGTGTTCGTTGGATGAAGCTATACATACCTACATGTTACCTACCTTGTAGCAGGGTTAGATTAAACCTTACCTATCCTGTTGCGAATATTACTGATATCGGGTCATATTACGGACCGAAGAGTGGTGGGTATACTTAATTCATTTTGGTATGGTCGAGTGTTTGATATCTTCTTTAGTTTCTTCACAGCACGTCGTAATTTACCTGTTGGTCTTACATTTTAATTCTCGGGTTTTATGAATAGGACTATCCCTGCGTTTTTGATCGGAAATCTAGCAGAGGAAGGAATTGTGGATAGAAACGAAGGCTTTCGTCGTTCTATAAAGGGTCCGATAGCACCTCCCTTGGCTATATTTGAACAGTATAGTGGCTACTCAATCGAAATATCCTCCGGTTGATTAGTCTACGTGTCTTAGCCATTATCGTAGCCCCGTGGGAAAGTATGAACCGTACGAGATTTAGAAGAGTGATCGCTCTTTACGGTTCCCTGTGAAGCTGTTATATGAAGAGAATCCTATCCTGAGACCTTCGTCTTCGAAGATTTACACCATCTTACATCAAAACACCAGCTATCCTCCTAACGCATCGCCCAAGCGCATGATTATCGAATCACGAGATTGGTCGTGTTAGCAAACTTATTCCCATTGCCGATTATATCACGGTTCAAATCTATAACAAACACTTAATATACCATTCCGCCAGCGTTCAGAGCTGAATAGATAACGCAGCCCGAGATCTTCTCTAAACTCCCTTTTCGGTGTCGTTTACAGTCAGTCCAACCGACAGTTCTGAATCGCCGGCGCATCTCCCCCTTCGTTCCTTCGTCTTGGGCTCTTACAAACGAGCTCAATGATTGTAAAGGATCTATTCTGGAATATCACCGATATCTGGGCTACTGTCTAGCACTCGGCTCCGTATCACACATTCGCGACCCTTCTAATAACTAAGCCTGCTTGGTCTCATTCCCTACATCTTCTATTTTCGCTCTACATGAAGATCAACGCCCTACATACGCAAACTACTACATGATGGCGGACGAAGAAAACCGAATAGCAAACATCGCATGGGCGCAAAGATGCATTCGCAAGTTACAGGACATCATACCGAGCCTAGACGAGTGGCTGGAATTAGTCACGGGGGAGCCACGGGACGAAGCGCAGAGGACGGCCATCACCACCCTGGCCCGCAACACCCTCAGGGATATAGACCGCACTGTAGATATTATACGCCTAATCGTAGTATCCCCCTGCATCATAGGCTCGTGGAATAGCACCAACAGGGCGATTCAGCACGCGGTGGATGAGATGGTGGATATGTGGTTCCTTGAAATAGAGTTGATGAGACGAAGGGTGGCCAGATCAGGTGACGCGAACATCGTATGACGAAGCTGTGCTGAGATGCGATCTGGTTGTCATCGCCAGAGCGCGATAGCCGGTCGTGCTCTGCCATCGATGATGGGTCGAGGTTGAATACAACCGGGACGGCACTAGCGGCTCGATTGGGCATTTGGTACTTTACACTATCATCGAATTGTACCCGCCGAGTTGAGGAGGTTGGTGACGTTGGGACTTTTTGTTATCTTTTAGCGTGCATGCATGGTACAGATCGAAATCCATGGCTATGAATATGCAACCCTTACTTGCGTTTCGATAGACGTGGTATGTGTTGTGCCTGGTCCCTCAGTGCTGTACAATGATAAACATACGCTCAATCGTATTGGTATAAAGGAAGGGTGGTTACTAACAGGCCCAAAAGGGGGGGGGGGGTTGAAAATAGCAAAAAAAGGAAGCCTCTCGATCGGGGAATCGAACCCCGGCCACCTGCGATTCATTCTGAGAATTTATGTATGGGATGACAAGCAGGTATCCTTACCACTAGACCAATCGAGATGGATTGACAGGGATTAATTATTGGGGTCGTTCTCGAACCCCTCTATCTAAGCGGTGGTAGCGAACCCTGAACACCCGTAGGTTATGATGTTACGAAAACGAACTGGGGTTGAGCTGTGCCGGGAGCAGTACAAGAAAATGAGAATTCAAGAGATACAGATGTATATACTTTAAGCTTGGTAAATGTTATTGATTGCGCTTCCACTTTCCCATTGTTCTTTGAAAATGTCATGTCTATCTTTCAATACCTAATGCCTCCCTGCGAGTGTGTCTCGGCGGACTTTGGACAGATACCGAAACTGGGCTCTGCTGACCAATATTGGATAATTCGCCTGGAACCCGAGTCTCCTGGGCTTTCTCGAGCCTGAATATGAGTGCGTTACAACGGTTACACCTGTACCGCTACATCGTATTCTTTATTGTCTGATGCCTAGTCCCAACACTTCCCAAAGACACACTAATTTATTGGAAAGCTTTACCAAACCGCCCTACCAATTTCAAAAAGGGAAGGTAAAGCTTGAGAAGTTAAGACCAGACCCCCCAAAACTCCAAAAAGTGGGATGGCTTCCTATTTGTCTAGATAAAAGATAAAATACCTAAACTAAAATCGAAATACCTCGTATTTCGATTTTTACCGTATTAAAATAAAAGCACCTGACCTTAGGAATAGTAAAGCTTTCTATTTTAGGGACAACTAGCTTGGCACTACAGAGTTTTTACAGATTGTTATTTCGAAGTGTGGGTTTCACATAGTTTAGTGAGCTTGTCTAGATGTAGGGAACGAGAAGATGGCCAGATAGTAGGTAGTGGGCGTGATCACGTGGACGATAGAGTCGAGAGAATGGCAGCCAAGAGTCCTTGTCTGTATGAGGGCGATAAGCGGCCGTGGCTGCCGGCGGCATATTTTCAGCTTTTATAATGCATGCCAAATCCAAATTGCTGGATCTGGGCACCTGCGATATCAGTTCCGTCTTTCGTATATTTCGTAATATTGTGTGTTAGCAACCCCCCGAGATCGGTGAACCGTTAGGTATTTTCTAGTTTCCTTATGTACCTAGTTGGCAAGTTAAGTGGGGGTACGTATGTTGTCCCGTACCTAGGTAGGTACTACTATTTCTACCAGACGTAAATGCGGGCATGACTCATAACGTGTGTGTATATACATATTTCCCGGTTATATGCGGGTTTTCAAATATTTACATTCGTTCACTAAACGAGTTCTATCTATGCTACAACGATCAAGGAATTGGAGTTTGGAATCGTCGTGACAAAGTTCTAGTATCTGGTCTTGGGGTATCGTAAACCGACTTTATTCATCATGGTTCTTGAGATTGAGCCTAAGAACTGGTACCGTGACGAATTCCTCGTCTCCACGGAACACCGCCTCCTCCAGGTTGAGGCGATCCGCTCGGCGATGAACCCAGATGTTATGTGGTGGGCACAGGCACCGCCGACAGATATATTGCGGAAAGCTCTATATAATTCCTTCTGTCTGGGGCTATACGAGCTTCCCCAGTCTACCTCCCAGATTGCAGGTGGGCTTGGCCTTTCTTAGACCTCCACCTCAGCTTCAGCGCACAGGCTTACAGACTCATAATTCTAGGTCAGAGCGACCCGAAGCAGATAGGGCTGATAAGGGTCATCACGGACGATGTGACATTCGCCTACCTCACGGATGTGTACGTTTTACCCGAGCACCAGGGCAAGGGGCTGGGGCGATGGATGTTGGCATGTCTGGATGAGGTTATTCAATCTTGGCCGCACCTCCGCCGCTTGATGTTCGTGACGTCTCCTAACTCGCTGGCTCTGTATAAGAAGACCCTTGGCGCGGAGAATTGGAGCGAGCGCAATAACGAGAAATCGATTATAGGGGCAGTTGATGGGCCGGCTGCTCCACGTCGACAGCATGAGTAGTGTACGAGGGCTAGAAACTTCACACCTTGGGGCCGGTCTTCCCGTACGCGCCTCCGTGAGCTCGTCGCAGTTCTATCGCGCGTTTGTAGGGCGGTGCGGTGGGCGGCTGTATAGGATCAAGTGGTATGTGATCTGGTGGTAGGCGGTAAGAAGCATCTGAGTCGAACGCAGATAGGTCGCCACATGCAATGAAGGGTGCTATCCACCTTATATCTATCTTTTTGTGCTGGCGGTGATCCTCTGGCTCAACTTCAGTAATACCGTGCTCGTCAGTGACTTGAAGGTAATGAGGGGCACTATCCCAAGTGCCTGTTGCCTGGTTTTGCATTATAGTAGGCGCAGTGATAGGGAGGCTTCTTAGATTTTGCTCCGTCATTTTATTCAGCCGGAACCCAACCCCTAGTGGCTCCTCGAGACTTGCAGAGAATCCTTTCGGAGGTTGGAAGTTTAGACATACTATGAATGCCTCGACACTGCTGGCACGTGATGACCTAGGTTTGGCGACATGGACTTGCTCGAAGAATATCTTGAGCTGGGCATACAGCACATCGACGTTCTTACCCCTGAATATCTTAGCCACGAACTTGCCTCCTGGCTTGAGAACGCAGAGGGCCAGATTCAGCGCAGCGAAGAGAAGCTGCGACTGCACATAGATGTCAAGATCGTGTAATCCAGTGACATCAGGGGCGCCGTCGCTGAGCACCAAGTCAACTGGATGAGCGGCCTGTTGCGACATGGTCTTTGCATCGTAGTCAGGATCCAGGGCCTTCAGCAACAGGGGCACTGTCGCGGGATGAGTGATGTCAGCTCTGAGTGTGACGATGCCGGGCAGGGGACTGATTGGTTGTAGGTCAATAGACACAATCTTGACATTTTCCCGCGGCTTCGGCTCTTCGGAGTCAGGTTCGATCTCAGTGACTGACGGCACGACGACGGGAGGCTTCACCGAGCCGAAAACCCCAAGCATCTGCTGGCGGAACTTGGCCTCCCGGTCTTCCCACGCGGTGCGGCCGAATTTCTCGCCTTCAATCAGGACCCTGGAAAGCACCTGGGACCAACTGCCGGGGGCGGCACACAGATCAACCACCCGCGTCACATTGGCGAACAAGTCAAATTCTATGCATCGAGTCAGCCCCGGGTTTTCCATTTTGCATTCACCAACGATTTTATTTTGGCGGGGGAGGGGCAGAGCCACCTTCATCGAGCTGCAAGAGCTTGAAGGCACTTCTTGCTCGCCAGCCCTGCTCTTTTGCGAGCCTGTAATAGGCGTCCCGTTTGTCCTTGGATGACTTTCCCATTTTTTGGATATTTATAGAATATCGCTGTTGGGATGGGCAAGTAGAGCGAAGAAGGGGACAATCCAATGTGAAAAGAGGTGCCCTGAATTTTCAACGAGCGAATCAAAATGTCTGTTCTGCAGTAGTGGGCTGGTTTAAGTGTTAGGTACCTACTTAGTTACTTATCTATCTATGTACTGTAGTGCTGTAGTGGGAAGTACTACCTAGGTAGGTACCAGCCAATGCGCCAATGGTGGGGTCGCAGGGTCTAGTGTAGGTAGGTAGCTTTGAAATTTTGAGACTTTCGCGCTCCCTCCTCTGCTACAATACAAACCGCATATCCCCTCGATCAATCCCGACTACGTAATCGTCTCAAAATGAACGGGGCCAAGAAGAGGAAATTGATGCCCGGGGGCGCCTCGTTATCGTCTAAACGAACGAAGACGGCGGTCCTACCTCAAAAACCAAAGAAGCGAAGCAAACGATCGGTCGGCCTCAATTCCCTGCCATGGACCAAGGCCAAGCTCCCCGATATGTTCAACGATGCCGAGGGGTTCTTTGGGCTGGAAGAAGTGGAAGGTGTCGAGGTTGTACGGGGCGACAACAACATTGTCGAGTTTGTAGGTTGACGTCGTCCTGCATCGTCTCTTCTCGTACTGACATTGGACTACCAGAGAGCAGTTGTTCCAAGCGACAACGAGACCGACCGGGCCGACGAAGCCGACGAGCCGGAGAACGACGAGTTCGCGGGGTTCGATGATGAGCCGTCTATCTTGGCCGAGTCTGACACCGTTGCTTCTCAAGAGGTGCCCAAAGATAAACCGGCCGAGAGCCCTAAACCAGAACCCAAGAAGCCGAAAAAGGAGCCAAAGAAGAAACAAAATAAAAAATCAAATACAAAGGACGATAGCCAGTTAGAGACAAATGTATTTGCTGCGCTAGATGTTGTAGACGAACCTCAAGACGATATCGACTTATCCGAGTGGGTAAAATTAGATCTCTCTGCTGGGGTTCTGTCTTCGCTGGCCAAGTTGAAGTTCTCCAAACCTACGGCGATCCAGGCCGAAACTATACCGCAAATCTTAGCAGGTCATGATGTGATAGGGAAAGCCTCCACTGGTTCCGGCAAGACCTTAGCCTTTGGGATACCCATAGTCGAGAGATGGTTGGAGCTGGCCGAGGAGGACAGCGCCGAGACGACAACCAAAACACCTCTGGCCTTGATCCTCTCGCCCACCAGAGAACTTGCCCATCAGCTCACAGATCATATAAAGAATCTTTGTAATGGTCTACCGAACTCTCCGTATATATGCTCTATTACCGGAGGACTTTCCGTTCAAAAGCAGCAGCGCCAATTGGCTAAGGCTGACATTGTCATCGGTACACCCGGTCGATTATGGGAAGTTTTGAGCTCGAGCACTGAAACCATGAACTCTTTCAGGGGAATAAGTTACTTGGTGGTGGATGAAGCGGACAGGCTTCTAACGGAAGGCCATTTCAAGGAGGCCGAGGAAATCTTGACGGCCTTGGATCGGGTTGAGGTGGATGAGGAGGAAGAGCAGGCCGAACCTTCCCCGAGGCAAACACTGGTCTTTTCGGCGACATTTCACAAAGGCCTTCAACAGAAACTTGCTGGTAAAGGGAAGTTCAACATAATGAACCAGGAGGACTCAATGGAGTATCTACTGAAGAAATTGAATTTCCGTGAGGAGAAGCCGAAATTTATCGATGTGAACCCCATCTCCCAAATGGCCGAGGGACTCAAGGAGGGGTTGGTGGAATGTGGCCCGATGGAAAAGGTGGGTGCAA